TTTCTCCTTCACAGATGCTGCCAGACCTGCTGAGCTTTTCCAACAACTTTGTTTTTGTTCCTTTTCTACTTTGAGTTAGCTAGATGAAAGACTGCCATTAAGAACTGCAGCAATAGATACCTGCTATGAAGATGCGTTTTCTGAAATTTTAATGTAGAATATCATTGACTGGACATACGCCAGTATCTTGGGCCTTTTTTCCCCCAGAAAGAACAAAGCACAGTGGTTAATGCTGCAGGGGAAAATGCTGCATTTGCAACGAACACAAGCTGCTCCCCTTCCCAGCATGTAGCAATCAAAATCAGGTCTATGGAAAGACCAGAACTGCTGATGTGCAAGAACATTGTAAAACTGGAAGAGATGACAGAGTTGGGGAGCAGCAAGATCAGGGAGGTACTAGAAAATAAAGATGAGAATTTTAAAATTAAACCAGTACAAAAGCAGAAGCCAAAGTAGGTCAGTGCACTTGGGTGTTCTACGAACAGAATTCAATGTGTGTTACAATATAGGCAGCAGAATTATGGGTGAATTAAAGCATATGGACTTCATCATGTAATACAGTCTAAAGGAATGCCTAAGACCTAATGAAACAAGCGAACTGATGGCAAACACTAGTTAAGGGTTATTGGGTGAGCATTGGTTGTGGAACTAGTAATCAGTGGACTGTGAGTTTTATGAAATGTGGTTTGCTGAAATAAAGCTCTTGTTATAAGTGTGGACATGAATTCTGCTCAAAAACAGTTAACTTTTGGAATATAACAATGGCAGTAGAGGATGGTGAGTCACTATGTAAAGTTTTGGGATATGATTACTCATCCCTGTTTTCTGAAAATTAGCTTTATGATCTGTGGAAGAATGATGTTATAATGTGGACCTCAATTACTTCCTTACAAAAGTAGCAGCAAGTTATGGCCTTAGTATGTTTCCCACTGACAAAATTTCAAACTGATAATGGCAGGGCAGAGTTGTTAAATTTTCCAAATTTAGAGAAATAATACATATATGAACGTAAAAATTGTTTAGAATCTGCTGGAAGCTCAGCAGGTCTGCCAGCATCTGTGAAGTAAAAATCAGAGTTCAAGTTTCGGGTCCAATGACCCTTCCTCAGAACAGTTGAGGTTTTATTTCTAAAGTAGGAATTTATAAAATGCCATATTGATTGACTGTCTATAAATTCTGAGGAAGGGTCACCGGATCCGAAACGTTAACTCTGTTTTCTCCTTCACAGATGTTGCCAGACCTGCTGAGCTTTTCCAGCAACTTTGTTTTTGTGTCTATAAATTGTGTGCTTTTTGAACAAAATAGAATGTACCTGCAAATACAAATTCACCCCATAGATTCACGTGTGTGTGTGTGTGTGTCAGTCAGTCAATGTGGTGTTTTATAAATTCTTACTTTAGAAATAAAACCAGTCTGACTCCAAACCAAAATGCAAACAGATTCTAAGCAAGGCCTCACACCTAACATGCATTGTCTGACCTAAAACATCACCTTTTCTTCACACTGATAAAACCTTTGGTTCTCTCAGGACAGTGAGTTGAAAGGAACTCAGGGGTTTACATTTACACATTAATCAATTAAAACCTTCTAACTGATTAAAGATTTAATAGCATCTTAGGTTTGTTTAATACATCCTCATCAGTGGTGTGACCCTTTAACCTTTTACTTATAAATTCTGTGTCTTATACTACCTGAAGAAGGAACAAAGCTGCGAAAGCTTGTGTTTTCAAATAAACCTGTTGGACTATAACCTGGTGTCATGTGATTTCTGACCATGGTTCATATCAGTTAATATTTGGTTAGAATTCTAAAGTTACATCAAGCAATAAATGACCATGCCCAAATTTGAGAAGGGGCTCTAATTGTTTTGAAGCATTTTAAAGCATTGCATGCAGGCAGAAAGGTTTTCATCAATCTCAAAGAATTTGGTGAGCCTTAAGATATTAGATAAGGCCAATGGAAATCGGTCTCAATCAGGGAAATATGGTTTATTATTAGAGAGATGGATTTAAAGAAGGAGATGCTGGGAAAGATGGAAACATAATAATTATGCAGCGTCGGAAACAGACTGTTTGGGTACACTCTTCAAGGTTGCGTGGTATTGATTACAAATTAGCAAATTCTGAAGTTACAGAAAATGGTGAGTAGCCAGGTACTTCTCAGACCAAATGTTACACACCGCTATGAGGATCAAACTGTTGCATTTGACACAAAAACGGATACTGCTGGAAAAGTTCAGCAGGTCTGGCAGCATCTGTGGAGAGAAGTCACATTTCGGGTCGAATTACCCTTCATCAGAACTGATGGTAGCTAGGAAATTGTCAGTTTATATGCAGAATATAGGGTGGGGGGTGGGGGTGAGGTGGGGAAGAGGGGTAAAGAGTAAAACAAAGGTGGGCGTACAGCCCAAAGAGAGAGAAGAGCACTTGGATAGACAAAGGAGTGGATAATGATCCGGCTAGGAGGGTGAATTACTATTAATGGGGACTGTTAGTGGCTAAAAATGGGTTGTCTAAAATAGCAGACTATGTGATAACAAGGCCTGGTGTGTGGGCATTTGGGTAAGGACATAGGAGAGCTCAAGCACTAAAGTTGTTGAACTCGATATTGAGTCTAGTTTCTGATTTATAGCATCCACAGTTCTTTCAGTTTTTAATTAGTATTTGCTGCATTTGAATATTTGTCCAATGATGGACAGATGTGTTCCAATGATCAATATGAGGCTATTTGTCCCAAAGGACAACTATTAAAAGTGGGCATGAAAGTCAAGTATTTACCAGAAAGGACTAGTTAATGAAGAAATGCAGCTATTATAAGTAGGAGCAGGAGTAGGCCATCTAGCCCCTCGAGCCTGCCCCGCCATTTAATAAGATCATGGCTGATCTTTTTGAGACTCAGCTCCACTTACCCGCCCACTCACCATAACCCTTAATTCCTTTACTGTTCAAAAATTTATCTAGCCTTGCCTTAAAAACATTCAGCGAGATAGCTTCAACCACTTCACTGGGCAGGGAATTCCACAGATTCACAACCCTTTGGGTGAAGAAGGTCCTCCTGACCTCAGTCCTACATTTGTTTCCCTTTATTTTGAGGCAATGCCCTCTAGTCCTAGTTTCACCTGCTAGTGGAAACAACCTCCCTGCCTCCACCTTATCTATTCCCTTCATAATCTTATATGTTTTGATAAGATCTCCCTTCATTCTTCTGAATTCCAATGAGTATAATCCCAGTCTACTCAGTCTCTCCTCATAATCCAACCCTTTCAACTCTGGAATCAACCGAGTGAATCTCCTCTGCACCCCCTCCAGTGCTAGTATATCTCTTCTCAAATAAGGAGACCAAAACTGCACACAGTACTCCAGGTGTGACCTCACCAGCACCCTATACAGCTGCAGCATAGCCTCCCTGTTTTTAAACTCCATCCCTCTAGCGATGGCAGACAAAATTCCATTTGCCTTTTTAATTACCTGCTGCACCTGCAATCCTACTTTTAGCGATTCATGCACAAGGACACCCAAGTCCCTCTGCACAGCAGCGTGCTGCAATTTTTTACCCTTTAAAACACAGTCCATTTTGCTGTTATTCCTACCAAAATGGATGACCTCACACTTATCAACATTGTACTCCATCTGCCAGACCTTTGCCCCCTCACTTAGACTATCTATATCCCTCTGCAGACTTTCAGTATCTTCTGCACACTTTGCTCTACCACTCACCTTAGTGTCATCTGCAAATTTTGACACACCACACTTAGTCCCCAACTCCAAATCATCTATGTAAATTGTAAACGATTGTAAATTGTAAACATGCCCTGTGACTCTAATTCAGGATGATATGAGTCACTGTAACTGAAGGATCCATGCTACAGTGAGGCTAACATTACAGTGAGGTCCATGGTATAGTGCATTCCATATTCTGGTGGCAGTCCTAATGAATTACTACTCCATCCCAAAAAAAGAAATCCATTTTGGTGAAAATAATCATGATGGACCAATGCTAATGGATCACAAATGCAAAAGGGCCACGAACAGGGCAGCACGGTGGCTCAGTGGTTCACACTGCTGCCTCACAGCGCCAGGGACCTGGGTTCGATTCAACCCTTGGGTGACTGTCTGTGTGGAGTTTGCACATTCTTCCCGTGTCTGTGTGGGTTTCCTCTGGCTTCCTCCCACAGTCCAAAGATGTGCAGGCTAGGTGGATTGGCCATGCTAAATTGCCCGTAACGTTCAGGGATGTGTAGATTAGGTGGGTTATAGGGGGATGGGTCTGGGTGGGATGCTCCAAGGGTCAGTGTGGACTTGTTGGGCCGAAGGCCTGTTTCCACACTGTAGAGATTCTATGAAAACAGAACAAGAGACAAGTTGCGTAGGATCTGGCTTGGAGGGTAATAGTTCATGACACTGGGCTCCACCTCCCACTCATGTTTATATGAGGTGTTTGGTGAGGACCAAACAGACAACCGTGATCCTAGCAGTGGCAGGTTGAAAAGGTGACTGACGAGCATGCCACTTTATCCTTAACCAGGGTGAGGCAATACCTTTCAGAACCACAAGCTAGTTTTGAACAATAGTCACCATTACCCAAATGTATGTACTGTACATGACCAACTTACTTTCATCTTCACTGCAGGTTCTCGCTTCCCTTCGATCAAAGGATCCAATCATTTCCTCTTTGCGATTTGGATTTGTTATGTAAAGTCTTGAGCTGCAAAGACCAAATGAATCGATACGTCAGCTTCACAACATTCTGGCAATGGTCTCTATTTCTCTCGGACCTGCCAAACTTACTAGGGAGTGGCAATCTCTCACAGATTAATGGAGAACCCAACCTAGCTGGCACTCTACCCACCAACCCGAATGGCACTCTGCCTCACACTTCGTTTATGGACTTATGGTGTTACAGCAGCGGTCAAAGTGGCCATCAGAATACTCAGCATGGTGGCTCAGTGGTTAGCACTGCTGTTTCACAGTGTCATGGACTCAGGTTTGATTCCACCCTCAGGTGACTGTGCGGAGTTTGCACATTCTCCCCCCGTGTGTGTGGATTTCCTCCGGGTGCTCCGGTTTCCTTTCATAGACCAAAGATGTGCAGGTTAGGTGGATTGGCCATGCTAAATTGCCTGTAGTGTCCGGGGATGTACAGGCTAGATGAGTTAGCCATGGGAAATTCAGGGTTACAGGGATAGGGATGCTCTTTAAAGGGTCAGGGTGGACTTGATGGGCCGATTGGCCTGCTTCCAAATGGTCAGGATTCTATGGTTTTAACCCTATCACTCATGGAGTCTGCAGCAATTTTGTGCCTGTTCCATCAATCAGTGAGGCCACGGCTGATCCAGATCTTCATTCCATTGACCTGCCTCGGCTCCATCTCTATCCAAGACTTTTTCTTTTATTACAAAAATACGTTTTCTTCACTGATGCACAAGAAGCAACTGAGCAGCCTGGTAGCAGAAAAGCTATTGGCAGAAACCGTGGGGCCACTCTAAGAGGGATGCCACCAAGGAAATCAGAGCTTCAGCAGTAGGCCTCATTTGAAGCCTTCCAGTCAGATGCCCCGCCATTTCTTGCAGAAGGCAGAGGCTAGTCAACCGGGAGAGCCAGACAGCGCCAGAGGATGATCACCATGAAGGAAGGTACATCCAGGTTTAGGACAGGGAAGGGTGTGGGTAGGGTCTGCATGGTTTGGGGAGGGGAATTATAGAGGCAGTGGGGGGTGAAGAAGCAGGTCTACCTCTTTGAGGGACCTCTCCCCAGAAAAAAAAACATTTACACTAATACTTGGACATGACCGAACTGGTCCTCCGTTTTGGAGTACAACAGATGAGTCGGACCAGTATGCCTCTTCAATCGATTATTACTGTTTTACTTCTACATCAGGAAATTATTTTAAGACATGCTGCTGGCAAGCCGACTAAAATTCATCGCTGTTCCATCCTCAGGGCACCCAGATGTTGTTTTTAATGTGGTTCCAACTTGTCACGCACCGGGAAACAGGAGTTAATGCATTTCAACTGCTCCCTCGCTGTTTCTACCAATCGTGGACTGCCTCTTAAATTCCTAGTACGCGTTGATGGAAAAAAACATCTCAAGCCTGAAGGTAGCCAATTTATTTCCTCTTTCTACCTTGTTGTAGGCTGTGACTTTTAACTGCTGAGTGAAAGACCTTTACAAGTGGGAATCAGTCACCCTGCGCCTTTCTGTAAACAAGTGAGAATATCTGTAGGAAGAAGGAAAACCGAGGAGCAGAGTTCTAAACAGCACAAGAATCATCTCAGCATGTTATTAGCATGCCTTCCCAGTCTTTCCCCCTGCCCCAACACCCATTTTTTTCCTGTCGCCATGTGTTTGTAGAGAGTGTGTTTATGAGGTTAGTGTTTTAACTTGTAGTGTTAAATACTGATGGTTCCTAGTTGTTCACCTGGAGTTAGTATTTATTTATTTCGAATAAATAATCACTCTTAAGTACAGAATCCTGATCCGTGCTTTCTTCAACCCTCAGTCTAAAGTTGGACATTTTGAGTCCTTTCTAAAATCTTTACATTTTGTGACAGCTCAGGGAATAGTCAGGCTCAATTTCCAGCATGTTACCCCAGTCAGGCATGACACTAGTAAAAGCTCAGCACAATTATTCCAACTGATCTCCATCTGCGATGAACATTTTTATTTCCACTTTTAATTCTACAGGCGTGAATATTTCAGGTGCTCTGAGAATCAATACATACCAAAATATTTTTATTTACTCATGGGATGTGGACATGTCTGGCTGGGCCACTATTTTTATTGCCTGTCCCTAGTTGTCACTTGTGAAAGGTGGTGGTTAGCTGCCTTCTTGAACCGCTGCAGTCCATGTGCTATAGGTAGACCCACAATGCTGTTGTGGAGGCAATTCTAAGATTTTGACCCAATGACACAAAGAATGGACATATATTTCCAAGTCAGGATGGACAGTGGCTTGGAAGTTGTGCTCCAACATATCTGCTGCCTTTGTCCTTCAAAGTGGTCGTCTAGAGGAAGATTTGATCCTTATTGCGTCTGAAGTTAAGAATTGTGAAATATCTTTGTGGTAGTTTCTGATAAGGGAAATGGCCTTTAATAAATACCAAGTTTAAATAAAAATTTATCAAAAACTCCATCAAAATCATATAATCCATGCGCAGCATTTTATCACTGAGGGAAACACAGTCGTACCCTGCCTAATAGTGAGAAATGAAAGTGTTTCCTGTACAGCATGAATTCACAACCACATTAAAGATCTTAAAATAGAGAGGAAAAGAAATTGCCAACGGTTAACTGAGTGCTGTATATTAAGTATATGGATCACGTACTTATGTAGTGGTTTCAGAGTCAAACTATCATCATGTTATCACCTGATATCAATGATCTCCATAGTCTCCTGTGGTGTGTTTAGGAAGATTTTCAAGTCTTGTCCTTTTTTTAGCTGGATTCCACCATCAAGGCTCGTCAATGTTCTCATTCCTGCCACCCACTCCAGACCAGCCTTACCAATTGCCCCGTCAACTCCCATGTGGACAGACACATGAATGTGAGCACTGAAAGCAGAATGTCAATGAACACCTTGTTAGACTTTCTCCACTCTTCAAATGTCAATAAAAAACAAACCGAAACAGCACTAGTTTTTGGAATGAAAGGAATTTTTTTTTGTGTTAAACCGTTCTTCTCTTAAAGTAATTGTTTATTTTTGGAGAAGGTATAGGGCTAGGTGTTTGGATGAAAATTATTTCACTTTTATTGTTAGTATTTTACCCAAGTTCTTCATTTTAAAAGTAATTTTTAATTTAAAGTCTCTTCAAAGCGTGAAGCATTACAGTGTAACACAGCCTTCAACATCAACTAGAGGGACCAATGTAGTGGTTTAAGTGAATTAATTTAAGCTTAGCTCCACTGTTTCTAGATTGCTAGATCAGTTGGATTGAGGTCAAAGTGTCAAGTTGAATGGACCTAGAATGACAGAGTCACAGGATGGTTATAGCACAGGAGGAGGCCATTTGGCCCATCATGTACATTTTGGCTCTTTGCAGCAACATCTCATTTGCCCACCGTTTCCTCATAGACCTGTAATATTTTTTCTGGTACTTCATCAAGTTCCTTTTGGAAACCATGACTGAACTTGCTTCCCACACCTTCTCATGTGCTGCATTCACTTCATGTTGCCTTTGCTTCTTTTGCCAGTCATCTTTAGTTCCCAATGGGAAGAGTTTCTCCTTAGCTACTTTGACCAGATTCCCTGTGAACATGAAAACCTCTGATAAATCTTCGCAGCCTTTTCTTCTCTCAGGCAAACAGCTCTGGCTTCTCCAATCTAACCACATAATAAAAGTGCTGCATCCCCAAATTATTCTTGTAAATCTTTCCTGCATCCTTCATCAAGAGCAGGTCCAGGATTGAGCACAACACTCCAGTTGAGGGTAGTTTTGATAATCTATGCCTCTCATTCTGAAACTCAGGATCCAATATATCTAATTCACCCAGCCCTTTCATCTTCAATTACTGCCTCTCTTCATTCTTCCTCAAAATGCATCACCATGTTCTTTTCTACATTACATTTTGTCAACTACATATCCTCAGAAGCCTATCACTTCATCTAAAAGTTAAAGAGAAGTCTCTCAATTACCAGCTTACTTTATTTTTCAATTTATCTTATGTTCATATTTAGCACTAATACAGTAGATACTTTACAATGACCAAACAATTCTTGTTTGCCAAGTGTTTTAAGGATGCATCAGCATTATGCCCATGTTAACAATAACTAGCCAAAGGACCAACTAAACCTGGATGTGGAAAGTTGTCAGCCCTCCATGGGGCTGGGTTTGACAGCTTCCAGTGGGATGAGGATGGAAAAGTGATTGATCCACTCGCCTCCCTGTCCCACCCCATCACCTCAGCTCAGCAAATCAAGCATCGGGTGGCCAGTTAATGGCCAGTTGGTGGGAAGGCGTGCGGTCAGCAGTGTGAGAGACAGCGGGGAAGGGCTTGGCTCCATGTCCAATCAATAGTTTAGGCTGGAAGATCTGTGGGTAAAGGGTTGCATGAACAGGAAGTTAGTCACAACCACTGCTCAGAAGGCTCCCTGTGCACTCGCTCTATCTCTCCATACAGGATCTCTTGTGGCAGGCTCAGAACAGTGAAATGACAAAAACACATACAAACTGTAGTGACTGGAATGAGGTCAGCCAGGTGGACCTCATAGAACACGAGTTCCCTGATCGGGGCCATTAACCTGGTTCAATCAGGGAGTCCTTGCTGACAGATATAAACAGGAGGGTCAGAGGTTCTGTTCACTCTAAGAGCTGGCTCTGAGCTAGCTGGGTCAGTGTCACGTTCTATGCAACAAAAGCAGAAGTTGCTGGAAAAACTCAGCAACTTCGGTTTTTATTCCCGATTTACAGCATCCACAGTTCTTTTGGTTTTCACGTTCTATGCACGTGTAAATAAAGGGTGACTTGGTGATGGGATACTGGCCTCTGAGGAGTGATTTCACAAACACTGCCATCACCTTCAGCTGCTAGCTAAACCCACAACCCATTAGCAGGGTGGTTATTTCTGCCTCCTCTCAGGCTTGAAATCATGCCTGACAAATCTACTGGATGTTTTCAAGGATGTAACTAGTAGAGTTGATAAAGGGGAGCCAGAAGATGTGCATTACTTAGACTTTTGAGACAGCTTAAATAACGTCCCACATATGAGGTTAGCATGTGAAAAGGATTGCAGTAATGCACTTACATGGCTGGCAGACAAGAAACAGAAGGAATAAATGGGTCTTTTTTCCAACTGGCACTGACCAGTGGGGGACTGCAGAGATCAGCGAATCACAGTACATATGAGTAGCGTGGCTTAAGGTACTGAATGCAAAATCTTGGAGTTTGCAGATAAGGCAAAGCTGGGCGGGAAGGTGAGCTGTAAGGAGGATGGAGAGATGCTTTAGTGTGATTTGGACAAGCTGAGTAGGAAAATGCATGGCAGATGCAATATGATCTGGATAAATGTGTGGTCATCCACTTTATAGCAAAAGCAGGAAGGCAGATTATTATCTGAATGGCTGTAGCTTGGGAAAGGGGAATGTGCAATGAGACCAGAGTGTCCTTGTACACCAGGTGCTGAAGGTAAGCATGCAGTAGCAGCAGGTAATGAAGAACCAAATTGTATGTCGGCCTTCACAGTGACAGGATTCGAGTACCGGAGCAGGGATGTCTTGCTGCAGTTATACAGGGCCTTGGTGAGACCACACCTGGAGTACTGTGTGCTGTTTTAGCCTGCTTATCTGAGGAAGTATGTTTCAGCGATGAAGGGAGTGGCACACAGCTTTACCCAGATTGGTTCCTAGGATGACAGGAAGAGAAATTGGATATGTTAGGACCATTTTCACTGGATTTTAGAAGATTGAGGTGGCGGGGGTTGGGGGGAGTGGGATCGCATTGAAACCTATAAAATTCTAACACGACTGGACAGGGTAAAGGTAGGAAGGATACTCTCAAAGACAGGAGAGTCTAGAACCAGGGGTCACGGTCTAAGAATACAGGGTAGGACATTTAGGACTGAGGTGAAGAAATTTCTTCACCCAGAGAGCAATGAGTCTGTGGAATTCACTGCCACAGAAAGCGTTGAATATTTTCAAGGAGTTAGATACAGGTCTTATGGCTAAAGGAATCAAAGGATAGGGGAGAAAGTGAGAACAGGAGACTGAATTGGATGATCAGCTATGATCGTACTGAATGGTGAAACAGGTACGAAGGGCTGAATGGTCTACTTCTGCTTCAATTTTTCATACAGAGAGATCAACAGCACAGAAAAAAGGCCCTTCAGCCCATCACGCCTGCACTGGTCAAAAACAACGCCCTAACTACTCTAATCCCATTTTCCAGCAGCTGGCCCACACCCTTGTATGCCTATGCATCACATGTGCACATCGAAATACTTCTTCAATGTTATGTGGGTTTCTGCCTCGACCACCCTTTCAGGCAGTGAGTCCCAGACTCCCACCACCCTCTGGGTGAAAAGTTTATCCTCACAGCTCCTCTAAACCTCCTGCCCCTTCCTTTAAAATAAATGCACCCCACTATCAAGGGAAAAAGTTTCTTCCTGTCTACCCTATCATAATTTTATACATCTTAATCACATCTCTTCTAAGTCTCCTCTGCTCTAAGGAAAACAATCCCAGTCTGTCCAATCTCTCTTCATAACTGAAACTCTCCAGCCCAAACAACATCCTGGTAAATCTCCTCTGCACCCTCTCCAGTGCTATCACATCCCTCCTAGAATGTGGATTTCAGAACTGTACACAATAGATTCTGAAGAAGGGTCTAGGCCCGAAACATCAGCCTTCCTGCTCCTCTGATGCTGCTTGGCCTGCTGTGTTCATCCAGCTCTCCACCTTGTTATCTCTTCATCATAACCTCCCTGCTCTTAAACTCTTTGCCTCGGCTAATAAAACTAGTAGCCTATGTGCCTCCTTAAGCACTGAATCCACCTGTCCCACTACCTTAAGGGAGATGGACACGCACACCAAGGTCCCTCTGTTCCTCAGTCCTTCCCGGGGTCGCACCATTCATCATGTATTCCTACCCCTTGTTTGTCCTGCCCAACTGCATCATGTTTCTATGTTCTTCACAGCTGGCACACAGCACTGTCAAACCAAAAACTGCATACAGTTGATGGTTTAACAAGGTCAATTAATTGTTAATTGGTTATTGTGGAATGGTGGACAGAATTCTGATTTGTGCACCGTCTCTCCTTCCGTAATACTGAAGACTGGCGTGATGACCCATAGTTTACATACACTGGGTAAGAGGTGGTTGTTGCTGTGACATCCAGCTTCAGATGTGGCAACATTCACTTTCAGGCAAATTTTGAGACGCGCAACAATTCCATTTCATTACACCACTCCTTGCAATTAATATTGTGAAGGTATTTTATATCAATACCTTGGCTTGATGAAACCGGTGATGATAAAGTCTGTCCGTTGCTTAACATCGATGTTCCCTTTAATTTTAATGTTTGTGGCAGCTGATGCATTTACAGCAAGCCTGAGAGGGAGGCCCGAGATGGATGAAAACGTCAATTCCTCTGTAGCTAGACTGAGCCTTCTGTTATACTGAACTTCCTGACCCTAAAGAAAACAATGAGATGAACTGAGTGACTATACAGAAATATGAAGTTCAGCAGGAAGGAAGTTACTACTGTGAGTTTCGTGGCAGATTCTCCTAATCACCTCATAGAGTCATAGAGATATACAGCATGGAAACAGAACTTCCCGTCCAATTCGTCCATGCCAACCAGATATCCTAAATAAATCTAATCCCATTTGTTAACATTTGGCCCATATCTCTCTACACCCTTCCTATTCATATACACACCCAGGTTTTGAAGGTCATAATTGTACAGCATCCACCACTTCCTCTGGTTACTCATTCCATACACACACCACCCTCTGCGTGACAAAGTTGCCCATTAGGTCATTTTTATATCTTTTCCCTGGGGTGGGGCAGTCCAAAACTAGAGGGCATAGGTTTAAGGTGGGAGGGAAAAGACCTTGCCTATGACCCTCATGATTTTATAAACCTTTATAAGGTCATCCCTCAGCCTATTCAGCCTCTCTCTATAGCTCCAACCCTGGCAACATCCTCATAAATCTTGTCTGAACCCTCTCATGTTTCACAACATCCTACCTACGGGATGGAGACCAGAATTGCATGCAATACTCCAAAAGTGGACTAACCAATGTCCTGTACAGTCACAACATGACCTCCCAAACTCTATACTCAATGCACTGACAAATAAAGGCAAGCATACCAAATGCCTTCTTCACTATCCTGTCTACTTGTGACTCCACTTTCAAGGAACTATGAACCTGCACTGCAAGATCTCTTTGTTCAGCAACACTCCCCAGGACCTTACCATTAAGTGGATAACTTCAGCCCTGATTTGCCTTTCAAAATGCAGCACCTCACATTTACCTAAATTAAACTCCACTCCTGCCACTCCTCGGTCCATTGGCTCATCTGATCAAGATCCCATTGTACTGTGAGATAGTTGACATAGTTTCCAGGCAAGCAGCCCATTTGATTGTCTGTTTGGGCTTCCTGCCAATCATCTGCCAATATTACAGGCTTGATGATCCACCCCACCAGAAAAATCATTTATTTGCTGCCACATTGGAGAATGTACTGATTCATCTTTGAATGATCAAATACAATTATGAGTTGAATGATTTAAAATGAACAAAATGGCTTCATCAAATACTGTTCCCATTGTTTATGACCCAAAGGGTAAATTCTCTCTTCTACCTTTAATAGTTTGATGGCAATTTCTGCCATGTCTAGGGAATATTGCTTTATCTGCGTCCTCACATCGCTGCAGTCTAAAAAGCTGAGCTCATTTCCAAATATCTTCATGCTCAGGCCACATGTCAGCTTCTTCTTCTTCTTCGCCATCCGTTTTGTAAACTAAATCAACAAAACAAGACAAAGGTCTGAATAGGATATAGAGAGAAGGGCAAATTAATCATAGAACACACTCTGCACACACAGTCATAGAGCTGTACAGTATGGAAACAGACCCTTCGGTCCAACTCGTCCTTGCCAATCAGATATCCTAAATTAATCTAGTCCCACTTGCCAGCATTTGGCCCATATCCCTCTAAACACTTCCTACTCATATAGCAATCTGGATGCCTTTTAAATGTTGTCATTCTACTAGTCTCCACCACTTCATCTGGCAGCTTATTCCATAGGTGCACCACCTTCTGTGTGAAAACGTTGCCCCCAGCTCCCTTTTAAATCTTTCCCCCTCACCTGAACCCTATGCCCTCCAGTTTTGAACACCCCCACCCCAGGGAAAAGACCTTGAGTATTCATCCTATCCATGCCCCTCATGATTTTATAAATCTCTATAAGGTCACCCCTCAGCCTCCGACATTCCAGGGATATACACTCATAGATTCTGAAATAACTCAAACCATCTAATTGACTCGAATTCAGCTCAATTATATTGCAAACAAAATACAAGCTGTTGCTTAGGGCTTTTCTGGCCCAGGTTCAAGTCCCAGAGATGTGTAATAACAATTCTGAACAGGTCAATTAAAAAATATCTACAAGCTGTTCCTCAACCCAAGCTAGTCAGAAATTCAAACTGTTGTATACTCTCAATGCATGTTTACTATCGGGACTAAGTGTGAGACAGAAAAATCTTTGGAAGGCACTTGCCCTCTGCAAGCACAAATTGTTTTACTTACAAACCAACTCAGGAACGTACTTCACCTGAACTGTGACCAAAATTTTATACAAAGTTATGGTACCTTTTCAATTGGGATATGGTCACTCATTTCTGATTCTTTTGGTTTCTTACATCAGCATGCACTATTCCAAGGTCAGTTCAAACCTGCTAGCCCAGCACTTCTTATAAAATATTAAGTTAAAATATTAAGTTATATCATTTATTCTGAGGAGTTCCACTTTTTGAGTAAAATACAAAATAATTTAAATACATCTAAGGTTTGTGAAATCTAGTAATACTTTTTCCAGTTACACAATTGACATCTGAATGCAAGTCATTGAGTCACAGAGTCATACAGCACAGAAACAGACACTTCAGTCCTACCGGTCCATGCCAACCATGTTCCCAAATTAAACTAATCCCACCTGCCTGTGTTTGGCCCATGTTCCTCCAAAACTTTCCTATTCATGAACTTATCCAAATGTCTTTTAAATGTTGGAACTGTACCTGCATCCACCACTTCCTCCAGCAGCTCATTCCATGCACAAACCACTCTCGGTGTAAAAAGGTCGTCCCTCATGTCCTTTTTAAAATTTTCTCTTCTCACCTTGAAAATATGCCCCGTAGTTTCAAACTGCCCCACCATAGTGGGGGGAAGACCCTTTTCAGTTTGATAACCAACTATAGTTACATATTTTCTCTCCAAGATTCCCAATTTAGATCATCTCAGATTTAGCTTGTTTAATCTTCCCATTCGAGTTGATATTTTGATAAGTGCATCCTTACTTTGGCCTCAAGTTCATAAATTCCACTGTAGTCCACGTTGTGGCAGCTCTGTTTTGCCTTTCGAAGCCTGGGTTTCTCCACCTGCTGCCTTGCTGCAGAAAACTTCCTGAGTGAGTGCCTCTGTACAGCTCCCAGCTTCTCCACAGACTGAATAGAAGACTTCAGCGGATTTCTCATCCTCCATTTCTTCCCGGAACTTTTCGTGCCCTTGGGAACATCCATCAAAGGAGCTTGTTTGTGACCAAACATCTTCTGTACCAGGTATTCAGCATTTTCGAGTCGAATGCCAACCTGCAAAGGTACAAGCAGAAAACACTATACTATAACTTCACACTCACTCCGTTTACCCTCCATGGTACAAATAATCTTCACCCTAATATGTAAAGCTTTATCGGCAAGGTCACTTATTCGTACTTCTGGAGAAAAAAAAAGGTGAAATCATGCATGTGAGACCAAAATGTCTTAATTATTTCACCACAGATAAAAATGCAGAGCTTGTGTACAATAATTCAATTTCTGCTATTTCAGGGTGCTGTCGCTTCATTTGAGATAATTGCATTAATATCTGTGCTTACCTACTATTGTCATCAATTGCAATTTCTAGATTGGAATCCCCAAAGTTCTAAAGCCCAGGTAAAAGTAGCTGGTCCAACAGGGGATGCACCTAACCCTTAGGCCAGTTAGTTCCATTGGAATAATGGAGGGCATGTAGGCATGGATAAGTCTGAGATCTTCAGTAGGGTACATAATGTATGGCTCCCCAAATCAACGAGTGTCCCTCCTCTCCTAGAGATCCATCCCCTTGACCCCCAAAACACAAGAACATCAGAAATGGGAGCAGGAGGAGGCCATTCAGCCCCTCGTATCCACTCAACCATTCAGTGAGATCATGGCTTACCTTCTACTTCAACACTATTTTCCTGCACTATCCTCATATCTCTTGATGTTTTTAATGTGTAGAAATCTGTCATAGAATCCCTACTGCATGGAAGCAGGCTATTTGGTCCACCTAATCCACACTGACCCACCAAAGAGCGCATACCCTACCCACCCCCCTACCCTATCCCTATAACCCTGCATTTCCCATGGCTAATCCACCTAGCCTGCACATCCCTGGACACTATGGGCAATTTAGCATAGACAATCCACCTAGCCTGCACATCTTTGGACTGAGAGAAGAAACTGGAGCACCCGAAGGAAACCCACACAGACACGGGGAGAATGTGCAAACTCCACACAGACATTGCCCCAGGGTGGAATCAAACCCAGGTCCCTGGCGCTGTGAGGCAGCAGTGCTAACCACTGAGCCACCGTGCCGCCCAAAGACTAGAGCACCTCAGACTGTTTGACCATGCTATTAATCACAGTCTTGACCGTAGTCAATAACTGAGCTTCCACAGGCTTCTAGGGCTGAGAATTCCAAGGAATTCATTAGCCTCTGAGTGAAAACAATTCCTCCTCATCTTAGTCCTAAATGACACGCCCCTTTACTCTGAGACTCTGTCGCCCAGATCTAGACCCTCAAACAGGGGTAACGCCCTTCCTGCACCCACACTGTCGATCCCTGTCAGAATGTTGCATGCTTGAATGAGATCACCTCCCGTATACTTCTGAACTCCAGAAAATATATGTCCAATCTATTTAATATTTCCTCAAAGGACAGTCCTCCCATCCCAGGAGTTAGTTAAGTGAATCTTTGTTGCAATTCCATGACAAGTATATCTGCAGGGAAGATCAAAACAGCACAATACTCTGTGTGGTCTCACCAAGCCCAAGACTGATGATTACAAATAAACTGGAATCATTTCCAGTACCGGTAAGGTGCAGTAACCCTTTTTGGGCCTTCATCAGTTCAGTCACTGACCAGGAAATTGCTAAGTCCTGCCAATACTGCTATGGGTTGGTCATGGAGAAGATGGTGAAATTAATTGCTTCAGCAAGCACAACATGCAGAAGATAGGAGCAAATTATTGCAGATGCTGGAATCTGTACTGAAAACACCAAGTGCTGGAGATCACAGCGGATCAGGCAGCATCCGTG